TGTTGCTTTTCCTTTTTGGTTGATTTCATATCAAGATTCGTAGAAAAAAAAAAATAAAAAACGATGCGTTTCTCAACAAAACTTATGTTTTTGATTTGTTGTTATGTTAGCATCTTGCATTTCGCAACCTGAACGCCATAATAATCAACGACAGCGATTTGTTCCTCAAGTGTTGTGTCAAATTAATAGCCGGTTTTGTTAAATTTCCATAATTTTTTTATGATATTTTTTTTTGAAGGAAGAGAAGGATGTCTCACAGGAAGTTCGAACACCCCAGGCACGGGTCGCTGGGATTTCTCCCCAGGAAGCGTGCTGCTCGTCACAGGGGAAAAGGTATCTTTTTTTATTCTTTCTCCTTGCTTGCGTAACTGTTTGTGTTGTTTCAATCACTATTTATTGCTACGGTGAATTTGAAAATCAATTATGTGATTGATAAATAAATAGTTTGTTTATTAGCAAGTGGTTTTACTGATATGATCTAAATAATATTTGCCCCTTGTATTTCTGATTATCATTATTATAAACCCTAGAGTGTTGTTGGCTGCTATGTGGTTTTATTTCATCCATTAATTTGAGCAACTGGGTATTAATTGATTTGTTGTAATTAAGGGTCTTCCAAATAATTATTACTGTGTTTTTTTATTAAAAAGTGTTTTTTAAATTGGTTTTCATAGCAATTAAGTCCCTGTTTTTGTGTAATTTTTATTCATGCAGTGAAGGCATTCCCCAAGGATGACCAAACCAAGTCACCCAAGTTTACTGCTTTCTTGGGTTACAAGGCTGGTATGACTCACATTGTCAGAGAGGTCGAGAAACCGGGATCAAGTAAGTTGCACTTTACTCGGCTACTTAATTGAAATTAATATATGTTTTGTATGTTAGGTTTTCATAGCGTACCATGCACTTTACTCAGTTACTTAATTGATCATAAATTGCAGGGCTTTTGTTGCTGTGGTTTGTTTTCCAAATTGTTGTACCAAAATTGTTTCCCTGCATTTTTCACTGTGAAAGTCATTAATATAATTTATCAAAAATTAAGTTTTCTGGTGATAGTGTTTTTTCTTGAACTATCAGAATGGATTAGTCAATCTTGAGATAACTAGTGTTTTGAAATGCACTGTTTCATGTCTTGTTTTTTTTTTTTCTTTGTGGAGTTGCCTAACTACCATAAATCTCAGTTTTCAAAGTATCTTGGCATTACTGAAATGCTTTTTTCAGCCAATTTTAGTTTTGAAGCTGATAATACTGGTCTAGTGCTGTTGCATTTGTTTACTACTACATAAAACTTTTTTTGTATGTGTTCCATCTGATATTATGGATCCTTTGTTTTTCCTAATTATATATTCTATTTTTTACATCAGAGCTTCACAAGAAGGAGACTTGCGAGCCTGTTACAATTATTGAAACCCCTCCAATGGTTGTTGTTGGGGTTGTGGGTTATGTGAAAACTCCCCGTGGTCTTCGAACTTTGAACACTGTATGGACTCAGCATTTGAGTGAGGAAGTGAAGCGTAGGTTCTATAAGAACTGGTGCAAGTCCAAGAAGAAGGCTTTCACCAAGTACTCAAAGCAGTTTGAAACTGAAGAGGGGAAGAAAAACATTGAGTCCCAGCTCGAGAAAATAAAGAAGTATGCAACTGTTGTCCGCGTTTTGGCTCACACTCAGGTATGTACCCCATGTCATCTTGATTGCATAATTTTGTTCGTTTCTCTCATTTACTACATTTAAAGTAGCAGTTAATTCTAGATTTTGAAGGTCAACTGCAATCCATATATTTACATACATTCTCTAAAGTTCAACAAAATCTCATCATTTGTCCCTTTTCTTTTTTTCCTTTGTAAGATGAGAATGATGATATTCTTGTGCTAACGCAGCGCCATAGAATTTGGTGCTATGAGCGGCACTTCCACACGAGATTTCTGACTCACGCTGGTTCTGTTTGACTGTCCAGAAAAATTGCAGGGGCATAAGGAAATTGTTGTTAAATGTTTTGGAAGTCTGTAGATCACTTGACTTCTAAACACCTATATTAAAGTTTTGTAATTTTATTTGGAAGTTACTTTGGAGTAAAATGTTAACACAATTTTAATACTAGTACTTATTTTGAGATATTATATTATTAGTCAAATTGTAAATTCAAATAATTCTGTCTCCCTTTATCTAAACAGATCAGAAAAATGAAGGGATTGAAGCAGAAGAAAGCCCATATTATGGAGATTCAGATTAACGGTGGGACTATTGCTCAGAAGGTAGACTTTGCATACAGTTTCTTTGAGAAACAGGTTCCTATTGATGCTGTGTTCCAGAAGGATGAGATGATTGACATCATTGGGGTGACCAAAGGTAAGGGTTATGAAGGTGTTGTCACTCGTTGGGGTGTTACACGCCTTCCCCGTAAGACTCACAGGGGTTTGAGGAAGGTGGCTTGTATTGGTGCTTGGCATCCTGCAAGAGTTTCTTTCACTGTTGCCAGGGCTGGTCAGAATGGATACCATCACCGTACTGAGTTGAACAAGAAGATTTACAAGCTTGGCAAAGCTGGAGATGAGTCTCATGAAGCTGTTACCGAGTTTGATAGGTGAGTGTCTCTGCTGATTAAAAATATGGTTAAATGCTATAATGAACTGGACAGCAAAAAATATTTTTGACGTTTAATTGCATTAATATGGTAGTCAAACTAATCTTAATTTGTTTTCTGAACCAGGACTGAGAAAGACATTACCCCAATGGGTGGCTTCCCACACTATGGTATTGTGAAGGATGACTATCTCATGGTCAAGGGATGCTGTGTTGGTCCTAAGAAAAGGGTTATTACATTGCGCCAATCCCTGCTTAAGCAGACTTCTCGTGTTGCCCTGGAGGAGATCAAACTCAAGTTTATTGACACATCTTCAAAGTTTGGGCATGGCCGTTTCCAGACAACCCAAGAGAAGCAAAAGTTCTATGGACGCCTCAAAGCATAATTATGATAATTTGTTGGAAATGCTCGAAGCTATTTTTAGAATTATATTTGGTTGACATCTCTTTTAAACTTAGTAGTGTTTTCATTTGACATTTGTTTCTCATGGATCCTTGGTTGAGTTATTTCTATAATTTGGCCGAACTTTTGTTTCAAGTGAGATTGAGTTGTACTCAAAATATTTCAAATTTTGTTTATGGTTTACAAGGTATTTGCATTGTGGTATGATATTTTGCTGAAACAAATTTTAAAATATTCAGACACCCATGGGAAGTATCTGTTCGAGATTTGGTAACCATAGGGTCATTCTGAATGTTTTACTAGTATTTCGATTGACCCTCTTTAAGTGACCGAATGTTGAAGAAATGCTCCTTTTACCCTTTTCATGCTTCAAAGGAAAGTTTGCTTCAAAGAAAAGCCATGCAGTCCAAAACGTGGTCATGTAAATATATTAGAAAAAATGATCAAGTATAAGATTAATTTAAAATTTAATTATAAAGAAAAAAATTGTAGTAAGAATATTCACAAATGAGAAATTGATTTGGGTATAATTTAAGACAAAATCTAAAATTATAGATTAAGACAAACTATTCCAAATTATAAAGGTGTAGATAATCAATTGAAAGATTTAATTTAAAAAGAAGTTAATTATTTTATATTATTTTTTAAAGAATAGATAAAAAGTTTGAACATTATTTCTAATTATATTCAAATCGTATTCTAATTTAATATGGTAAGATGAATTTTGGAGCAAAATTTTCAAGATTGACAACTTTTTCTTTCATTTTGAAGGCAGTATAAACTACTTTCGGTATGACAATACCAACCAGCAGTATGCAAGATTACTAGGTATAGATTTAGAATTATCTAACGAGACTTACATTACATGTGAAATGAGAAGGTAGATACGCATTTGAAATGCCCCGTTCTTGGTGTAAACTGATCGTCTCCTTGCTTTTTCTGAATTTCTTGTTCTGTATCGTGTAGATGCAACCCTCAAATACAAAATGAAAAATCGTAACAAGAAAAATATTGCTAAAGCAACCGTTTTTATATTATATAATTATTTGTAAGCCTCAATATATTATTAATTGTTCATTAAAAAATTAAAAATTATTAAAATTATAAACAACATAATTCTCATGTGTTTTTTTTTTACATTACAAAATAAAATAAAAAATACAGAGTGACAAACACAACATTTAATTTGCTGTTATTATTATAATGATTATAATTCACTTTAACATGCCAGTAAATAATAACGAATTAAAATTAAGTATTTAAGTTCAGTGTTAATAAAATCGGACCGACCCAATCGGGTCAACCGGGAACTGGTCATATAACCGGTCCGGTTAAAGCAACGGACTGGTCATGCATCAGAATCACTGCGACCTGGTTCGATCCGGCCGATTTTCATAAAAATCGGTGATCCGGTGACCCGACCCGGTCCAAAAAAAAATTCCAATTTTTTTTTGTTTTAAAATAAAAATCATGGACATATTTGAATATTTTTTTGCTTATTGACTTACAGAAGTGTTATGTACCTACAACACTAATATTATCTCAATTATTTACTATACAGAAAATTTTGATTTGATTTATAGTTAAAAATGTCGTTTCTGAACCTAAAGCCTCATATCACGATCATTACATCTTTGTTTGATCCTTTATTGGATAATAATATGTGATTTATTATTTTTTATATTAAAATATTTGAAATTTGTATCATTTTTTTTATATTTGTGTATGTTTATAATTTTTTAATATAAATTATAAAATTATATATAATTATCGGGTCATGCAGTTGAACCAGTGATCTATAATCCAACGACCCAGTAACTCGATAAGATCAATAAAATAAATTGAATTTTTTGGTTGGCCAGATACATTGGGTTAGCCAGATAAGCATGAATGGCCAATCAAAAAAACAAAGATGGATAAGTTTTGTTAGTTGATGAGTGTGGTGGTACCAAAAGCAGGAAAAAATGTTCAATTCAAACACCAAACCTAAATTCAATCAAAGGTTATGATAAAAAGGTCAAGTGAGTTAACAAACCTAACATAGGGTAACAAATTCACATCATGCGTGCCATCCCTTTTTAATTCTGATTCTCTCTCTCTCTCTCTCTCCTTCTTCTTCCTCTTTCTCTTTGTCTGTCACTGTCTTTCGGGCAAGTTCTCTCTCTCTATCTGCTTCTTGTTTAGAACGAAGGAATGTGCTGTGTGCTTTCTTTGCTGAGATGTCATGATTTTCTGCAACTTTAGGGCTCTGAGCTGGAATTTGAACATACCCTTTTTCTCCTTTGTGATTTTGTTTACTGCTCTTTGTTCTGCATAGTCCCTAGATTCAGTTTTTTCAATTGGGTATACGAGTTTCATTTGAGTTTGATTTCGAGATAAAAATTTCATTTTTCTTCGTCTTCTTCTTCTTCTTTCGTGATTTGCACTTTGTCTGTGAAGCCCCATGATTCTATCTATTCGCTTTATGATTTACTGGCATCGTGAATTAGTCCAATTGGGTTTTTCAAAAAATTGGAACGGATGATATACTATCTTTGCTTTTTTTGGGGTGCTATTCAGTTTTAGAGTGAGAATTTTCAAGCATACCAAATGTGAACTTTTACTTCAGTTGCTTGCTTTCAGATTGATTCAGACTAGAATACTGTTGGGATTTGATGCTATCCATAAATTGAACAAATAAAATGAAAAAGTTGAAGTGATTGAGTATTATGATTTTATTTTATTTTTTAATCTTTTTCATGCTTTTTACAGGTTAGTTTACAATGACTGAACCTTCCAAGGTCATTCATGTTCGAAACGTGGGGCACGAAATATCTGAAGTACTCTCTCTTTATCTCTGTATTGCTGGATGTCTGTATGGTTTGTAGTTGCTATATGTTTTAGTAATATGACAATGTCATGGCTGTGGTATGGATCAATTGCTTTAGCTTTGTTTTGAAATGAGGAGAACTAGTCATTGGCCAAGAGGGTGAATGAAGTGGGTGGTATCTGGGGCCTGCTTGATTTCCATTCTCTAAATAAAATTTATCAAACAGATTTTTTTATAGTAATAAGTTACTCTACCTACCTCTTTTTTTCTTGAGATTCTGATTTAACAGTGTTGGAAATTGGTAGGTATGTAAAAGAGGTAAGTTGAATAACCTATTTTTTTTTATATTCTATTCTAATTCTCAAAAAAAAAAAAAACACAATTAAACAAAGCATTGGATTCTAAAAACTAAAGGCTATATATTGTTTTTAGAATCAATTCTTACGTAATACTATTATAAAAACAATTTTTTTAATTCTTTAATTCTTATAATTAAAATATAGTTTTTAAAAACAATAAACAAGCAAGCCCCTTGGGAAATAACTGTTTTAGAAACTTCTTGTAAATGGTTCTATGTTTTATATTTTTGTTAGAGTAAAGCCCATTTTGGGTCCACAATTCTCACTTTAGTCCCTTAAAAAAATTAGTCGTCTGATCCCTATGAAATTCAAAGTGGATTCATTTTAGTCTTTTTGAGGGACTAATATGGATCTTTTTTGAATTTATGAGGGATCACGATATCAACTAAATGGGTTCACTTTGAATTTATTAGGGACCTCGGGACTAATATTTTTTTTGTAAGGGACTAAAGTGAGGACCATGCTTTTTGTTAAGAACCAAAAGGGGCTTTACTCTTTTTGTTATTGATTGTAACCATTTTTGTAAGCTCTAACGTCTGTCCCTAAACTAGATAGATTTTGAATATATAGCGGTAGAAGTTGCATGGTTATCTTCTATCTCTTTTTCCCGTTTGTTGCCACCTTCATATTGGATGTCAGTTTCTGCCTAGAAATGTTGTCGTTTCATTGAATGGCTCGAGTCTTGCTGGCTGCAAAGCATTTTTGTTCTTTTTCTCTCTTTGTGTGTTTGTTTGTTTTGTTTTATTGTTTTTAATTAGACCACGTAAGCTCATTTATTTTGGTCTATTTCTGCTTTCTGTCCAGATGTTTGGATAATGAGTATTTGAATTCATAATTTTAGATCTTAGTATGTGTTGTCTTAGCAGAGCGTAAATTATTTTTCCTTTTTAAGTACAATTTTGCACTAAAATGTTATTAGGACTCTTAGTTTCTGAAGCTCTTGAAAGATTTAAAACTTTTGCCTCCTTTGGTTGCAGAATGATTTACTTCAGCTATTTCAGCCTTTTGGAGTCATAACAAAGCTTGTGATGCTGCGTGCAAAAAATCAGGTTTTCTTTTTCATGCCTGTAAATGAGACTGTCTGTTTTACTTAGAGTTTTAATGGGTTCTTCATTTTGTCATTTTTTGTTTGTACATTCTGCCATGTTTGCAGGCTCTTCTCCAAATGCAAGATGTTCCATCTGCAGTTAGTGCTTTACAATTTTATGCAAGTATTCAACCAAGCATAAGGTACAAATAGCTAGTTTATTTCTGTCTTTTAGAACTGTACCTGATTGCCTAGACTATTGTTTTGATAACTTGGTATTTGATGTCATATTTGAAGATTTGCAGTGCTCTATTTATTCCCATTGATATTAAGATTGCCTTAACAATCTAATTCTCTTTTTGTTCCATTCTAGGGGAAGGAATGTTTATGTACAGTTTTCCTCACATCAAGAGCTAACAACAATGGATCAGAATCAAGGACGAGGAGATGAGGTTGGCATTTGTTCAAATTTTGGAATAAAAAAAAATTATGCTTCATTTTGTTGTTGATTGCTGAGAAAAGCAGAGAGAATTGATCGGCCCATTTTTGGGTATTTTTGCTTTTTCTTTTTTATGTGATATTTTCCCCCTATATCTTTGTATTGTTGTCTTAGACTGTTCCATTTTATTGGATTCATTGTGTTAAAATGCTATGTTCTGTAGATTTCTTTTTCTCTTTATCATGTACTTCTCTATTTATTCTCCTTTCTCTCTATCTCTTCTCTTTCTCTATGCTGTTCTGCTGTCGGGAACTCTCTGGATGCACAGCCAAACCGAATTCTCTTAGTTACAGTTCATCACATGCTGTATCCTATAACAGTGGATGTGCTGTATCAAGTATTTTCTCCTCATGGATCTGTGGAAAAGATTGTAACATTTCAGAAGTCAGCTGGTCAGATTCTCTCAGATTTCTCCCTTTCTTTCCCTATTAAGTCTTTTGTGCTTTTGGACTTTGACTGGGTGGATTGAGGTTATATTTTGGTCATGCAATAATTTATTTTGAAATATATAAATATTTTTTTTTTCCTTTTGTATTTAAATAGAAAAATATTTTACTGAAAGTTTTGTACTTGGAAGAGCCCAACGGTGTCGATTGATCCATGTAGCCAACCCACATTGTAGGCCAAAACTTGGTTGTTGTATGAAAATGGGAAAATAGTAGAACAAGGTTCTTTAATTTTAATGAATTTGTAAGTGCTCTGGTTTTTTTATGTGTAGTGGAATGCTTCTCCATTTTCAACACATTTTGCATATGCCCTTGCCTTGTAACCAGATATTAGGATTGTGATTGCATTTATGGACAAAAAAATATCATTATATTATATTTATGCATGTATAGTTTGTGTGTTCTACTAATTGTTTCATCATGTATCTGCAAACTTTGTAGGCTTTCAAGCTCTTATCCAGTATCAATCATGTCAGAGTGCTGTTGCTGCAAGAAGTACACTTCAGGTTGTTTAACATTTCCTTTTAGCTTGGGACTTTACTTGGCTTGTTAATTCTGATATTGTTTCTGAATGGTGATTGAACTTTTGGAAATTTCTAGGGACGTAATATATATGATGGATGCTGTCAGCTGGACATTCAGTTCTCAAAGTAGGTTAAGTTTATCTAAACAATTTCATCATATATTGCCTTGTGGATTTATAGAACTTATGTTATGCTTGTGATTTGAGTCCTTTTGTAAACCCCCCACCCCCACCAAAAAAAACAAAAACAAAAACAAAATAAATAAAATAAAATAAATCCGTCTTTTTGTTTTCTCTCTCTTTATTTTTGATTTACTTTACTTTCTTATATGGACATTTAATTCATCTTAATTGCAGCCTTGATGAATTACAAGTGAACTACAATAATGACCGTTCAAGGTAATTCAGTCATTTTTTGTCTCTCTGTTTTTGTTCATTTCTTAATCCCTTTTTTAACATCTTATCTCATTGTTGCTGACTTTATTCCTCATTTTTCAAGGGACTTCACAAACCCAAATCTCCCTACAGAGCAGAAAGGCAGACCCTCTCAAGTGTGTTATGTTTGGTTCTTTATTTATCTATTTATTAATCAAATCATCTTGTTGATCTTTGCAAAGTCCATTCTAATATTTTTTTTGTCCTTCATCTTCTGGGAAACAGCCTGGATATGGTGATGCAGGAAACATGTATTCTGTTCAAGGTTCTGGAGCCAGGGCAGGTGCTAAATATTTTAAACTGCTTTGGTTGGTTTCTTTTGTCTGTCATATTGTGTTATTTTCCAGTGTACTAATGTTTGTCCTTTTTTCCCTCTTTCCAGTTGGATTTCCACAGGTGGGTATTTTTCACACCAAGTTAAAGTCCCAATTTGATTTATTCTTGCATAGTTGAATATATGAAGTTATTATCATTCTGCTTCTCATGAAAAGTAGCAGTGGAGATGTGTGATGACATCTCTTCTTTTTCTGATCTTTTTAAAATATAAATATACAAATCACCAAGTTTGTATGATTGTGACCTACCCCCATTTGTGGGAATTTTTGTTAATCTCAGAACAACTTAATGTTAGGGCTTTGTTTTTCAAATTGGGGTTTGACTGGGAAAAGGAGGAGCTTCTGTGTTGGGTTTTTGCTTATTCGACATTGTGGGATTTTCTTTCATTGAGATAAATGGCATGATAATATGAACATATTGCCATGATTGTTTAGCAAGCGGACTGCAGACATGCTTGCAAATGAGCTGTTTATTTTTTTTCTTTTTTTAAAAAAATTACTTATTTATTATTATTTTTTGAATTATAGATGGCCAATGCTGCAGCCATTGCAGCTGCATTTGGGGGAGGTTTGCCTCCTGGAATAACTGGGACAAATGACAGGTGTACAGTTCTTGTCTCAAATCTTAATCCTGATGTAAGCACTTTGTCTGGCTTCTTCTAGAAAGTTCTCAATCTCTCTCAGCTTATTTAGCTTTAAATTTGTTTATTTCAGAGAATAGATGAGGATAAACTGTTCAACTTATTCTCCATTTATGGGAATATTGTGAGAATTAAACTTCTCCGAAATAAACCAGACCATGCACTTATCCAGATGGGCGATGGCTTCCAAGCTGAATTGGCAGTGCACTTTCTGAAGGTTTGTTTCGTATATACCTTGCTGACCATATGCTGTGATGCTAGATTTTTGTGATATCTTTACTCAAGTGAGAAGTTATTGTTGTTTGTTTTATTTGTTATAGTTGTTTTCGCTGAAATAGCATTTCATATATTATTTTAATAATTTTTGTCTACAAATGGTACCAGTGGGTAACTAACAATTAAATCAACGCTTATTCAATTTAATAGCAGAATAATAAAACCAAGGAGCAACAGCAGTTTCTGAAATACATCCATGACAACATTTTATTGATTTTGATGAACTCACAAGAGTCACGTTCTCCTAATTACAGCAAAAGAAATAACAGACTCCAACCTCTCACACAATGACTGGGAAAAACACTGAAACGTAAATGCTTACAGACTCAACACTATAGAGTCCAAGAACTCTCAAAGACACTGAAAGACAACCATTACAGACTCCATAAGACTCCCCAAACAATTAATATAGCACCATAACCCAGTTCCCTCTACAAACAACCACCGATCTGCAGAGTTTTCCAATTTTCTTTCCTCCCAGTTAATTCCTATTTTTTGCACACCCCTCTCCTTTGCTCTCACCTCCAATATAACCTCACATTTCCCTGCTTCCCAATATCTTCTTCACCATTCAGCATCTGCCAGCTGTCCACTCCTTCCCTTTGTATAACTAACTTCATTCTTTTATTATCTTGTGGGACAGCCCCTTTACTCATTTCTTTACCTCTGCCTTGGCTTGAACCAGAATTATCATCTTGGGCTGTTGGGTTTGCTGCCTTCTTGTTGCCTTGTTGGACAGCAATTCGTTGTTGGGCTGAACGCCTTCTATCTCTCTTTCTTTTATAACTCCTTGGAAATGGCTCTAGTGACCCATCAAATACCAATGTCTATATTTGACAATTCATCACAAGTTTGTTAGTTATTTTGTATAATTTTAAAGCAGAATGAAGAAAGTTCGCTAAGAGAGAAATTGTATTTCTTTTTTCACAGGTTTGGTTCTAGTTGTTAGTTTTTAATTCAATTTATATTTAGGTGTCAACCTGAAAATTCATTATATTTTGATTATTCTTTTAATGATAAATTTACTTGAAAATACATCCTCCTCCCCAAGGAACTTGCCACTGAGGGTGTAAATAAATCAGACAGCCTATCAGGGGCCTACATCCTAGCCTACCTTAGGCCTGCTTTATTTTCTAAATAGAGCAGGTTTAGGCTTTTAGAAAAATTCATTTAAATTTTATGTCATATGCCCACTTTAAAAAGATTGGCCTAAAAGCCTGCAGGATAGCGTTTTAAATTTTTTAATAATATAATATATTTATGATATATATTGTTCACTTAAAAACATTCTGATATCATGATTTGTAACACTAATTTTCAAAGTAATAGGATTGATGTTATTTTAACAAATCATAAATATTTATTTAAAATTTAAGATATAATATTAAATTAAATTAGTAAAGAAAGTGTAAATTATATATATATATATATATAATATGAAATTTTCATGTGATCTTTATGAACATTATTTCATGTGTTAATGAAAATTTTATCTTTTATATTTTAGTTTGGTTTGGGTCTATAAACTTTAATTTGTAACTTGGTAGGCTTTTCAAACCGTGTCAGGCTTTTTAGGTTTTTAAAATAGGCCAATCCAGACCTATAAATCAAACCTTTAATAGGTTAATAGGCTAGTATAGGCTCTAAATGTTTTACATAGACTTACGCTATCAAAGGCAAAGGCTGGCCTAACCTGGCCCATTTACACCCCTGCTTGCTACCATATCTTCTGGCTGTCTCCAACTGTCCATGCAAATCTTTTAATCAGGTCTTATTGGTGGTTTTATTTTCATCCTGCCTTTGTATGTTTTGTGGAACAAGACTGAAATTGAAGGATCTATTTCATAAGGAGAGGAAATATTCATTTATCTGTTTATTCTGAGGATTTTTTTACTATTAAAAAACGCTGTGTGTATGGTATATTTGTTGTTCATTTGTAATTTTATTTGTGTTGTTTGGCATGCATTGATTCTGTTGAATGATTGGTATTCGTCCATGTTTTTGAAATGGTGGCTTTGAATATGCTGTTGATAAAAAGTCATAGTTGTAATATCCCGACAGGCTGACATTGTTTAATGTCAACAAATTTGAATAAACTAATCTTTAATTTTGATTGATGGTTTGAGTTGCTTCAGTGAGAAAATAAAAGAATGGTGAACTTGATTTTTCATTTTCTATACTGGATTGGTAGCAAATTACATTAAGATGATGTGATAGTGCATGTTTACATTGGATTTACTTCTTGTATCCTTTAGTCATCCTGCAAATTAATCTGTATACCTTGTCTAGTTTTGAACTGGTCACAAACATTTTCAAACTTGAGGTGTAGGGAGCCATGTTGTTTGGGAAAAGATTGGAGGTCAACTTTTCCAAGCATCCAAACATAACACAAGGTGCTGACACACATGAGTACATCAATTCAAATCTCAATCGTTTCAATCGTAATGCTGCTAAAAACTACCGGTATTGCTGCTCGCCAACAAAGATGATCCATTTGTCCACACTCCCACAAGACATCACTGATGAGGAGATTGTGAGCCTTCTAGAGGAGCATGGAACCATTGTCAACAGCAAGGTCTTTGAGATGAATGGGAAAAAACAGGCCCTGGTTCAGTTTGAGACCGAGGAGCAGGCTACTGAAGCTCTTGTGTGCAAGCATGCGAGCTCACTTTCTGGCTCAGTAATCAGGATCTCCTTTTCCCAGTTACAGAATATATGAGACTTTGTTAAGCACAGTAAGGACAAGGGTTCTGAATTTGGGAAGCATAATTTTTATGCAGATGATCGTCCTCTTCATTATATTGTAATGGTCACCTTGCTTACTAATTTACTGATAAGATCTTCTCTTTGACTTTTTCTCTTCTAATTATTTGCCTTCTCATCTGCATTGCTCTACTAGTGCTTTAGGTTGCTAACATAATGTAGTTAGGGGTAGATTTTTATGATTGTGGATAGGTCGAGTCTTTGAAGAATAGAAAGGAAGGGAAATCACTACCTTCTGCTGGAGGGATTGCTTTTTTATTTTATTTTTAAATCATTGTTGTATATGTTTTGTGATTCAGGCTAAGTAGGCCTTTCTGTTGTATTCTCAATCCATATCAAAATCTTCTTGTCCAACTTAGCAAATATCTATTGGTTTGCTCTCTCCTTTTGCAGCTACATATTTTCCTCTCCCTCCTTCAGTCTCTCTTTTCATCTCCTATTCTTCCTTCTTCCTTGCATTCTCATGGATTGAAAACATGTTGGTTATTTCTTCTCCTCCTCCTCCTTTTGACGATTTTCTCTACCCCTTTTATCCCTCTCAATCAGCTGGCTGAGAGAATGGAAATTGGAAACATTAGGTTAAGAGAGGGGCCTTTACTATATGTCCTCGGGCACTGCTTTAATGCTTCTTGTAGCAAGAAATTCTTACATTGGCTATGCCTATCGTAATCAACGGCATGGCTTCACAGGTTTAAAAGTGTATAGTTCAAAAGGATTAGAAGTTCTTACTTCAAAAGAAGGCAAGCAGGTGTGTACAGGCCAAGTTCCACTTTGATGGAATTTATATTTCAGTGGGTAAAAACTGGACATGTTATGACTAAAAGTCAAGGCTATATTCATCATGCCTGCAATGGGAAAAGAACAAAAATAGATAATGTATTTATTTATTAGAACTGAATTAACTGCAATTAGACGAATTTTTTCTTTTTTATTGAATAAACTGTTAGCTTTTTTGGGATGAATGATCTTTTTTTCTTTATTTTCTTCAAAGCCCCCTTCGTTCCATCTTTTAGCTAAAGGTTCATTAATTACTTTTACAAGATAATCCGAAAGTTTATTTCCATCTTGTGATGGGTATTCAATATATAATACTGAATGAGTTTGTACTTAAAAGCATAAGTTTATGAAAAATTTAATTTTGATTATGACATCAGAGTCTGTAATGAAGCGATTAAGGCCTGTGCAAAATTTGCCGGGCCTCATCTAAGGACAAAGGACTAAATGCAACTTCAAATTAATGAGATCCATCCTTAAGCTAATCTGATTAGTCTCTCTTTTTCCTCTGATTTCCCTCTGAGTTGTCACTTTAAATGAAATCACTATTGATCATAAACTGGAAAGAGTTTTGAGTAGAATTTTGGTTTAAATAATCAATTTGATCCTTCTTGGGTCTCTTTTTAGTTCAATTATTTAACAGGCAGTCATAGCAACAAAGTCTTAACGACCAAACGACCATTTTTCGTAAGGCTTCTTTTCTTGACCTTGAACCTTGAACCTTGAACCTTGTGTATAACATTGATCATTGAAAAAACTCGTTTAGGAGAATTTGTTGGCTTGTGTCACATGGCTTGAACTAACTTTGTCATCATCAAAGAGGCGACGCCGACCAGATCATGTCTCAAAAATATTTTTTTTCACCTTGTCTGTTTTACTCTATCTATATGTCTGGTCCTCCTTTGATTGCACTTAATATTCACAATATGAGATTGAGTACTGCTCCATCATTAAAGTGAGCTTTGAATTTTTTTTGCTTCTTATAGTGTTTTTGACATTACTTTGGTTGGTGTCGTTGCTTGAACGTGACAAAAATGCAAGGCTATCTTTTCAATATTAATTAAGGGTGGTCCTAACATTGTCCTTAAGTATTCAGGGTAATTGAATATCCTAAATGTTGGCCCAATGTTCAAAATTGAATGGCCAAAATCTAGGCCTACCCCTTTTGATTGTGGTGACAGGTGAATTATGTAGCACAGGCCTCCTTGGTCCCCTGTCCCCAAGCTACATATCATCTAATTTCCTTTTTTCTTCTTAGTTGATTCTTTTTCCTTTACTTAAATTGCTACGTTTATTTTTTATTTTTTATTTTTTATTTATTAGACTTCTTTTCCAAAAAAGTTGATTGAAAGAGTTCAAAAATTTGAATCTTTATTAATCATAGGAAAAAGTTCAACACGATGGCATATATATTTTGTCCACTCAACGCCGACTCTGGAATTATTGTCTGGTGTATGTTACAACAACTTGGATTTTTCTTTTAAAGTGTTATTTGACAAAGTCAAGTGAGATGTAGATACCAGCAGTCTAGCATGAAAATCCTTTATTATTTCTCTTTCAGACTTTCCTGTGGGCTAAAAATTTGTAAGGCACTGCTGCACAAATGTATTCTGTATGTTTCCTTCTTTTTTTTCTTTTCTTTTTTCCTAATTTTTTCTTTTATGCAGTTCACTAATAAGAGCATTCATTTGGTTTGCCAAAATCTACTTGGTGGTCCAAATTTGAAAATGTCAAATCAATAATTGTCATTTCTAATTAATTAAGTTGTCCCTTGCTTAAAAATAGGGTTGATCAGATGTAATGTTGCAGGAAATAAGTTATGTCATAGTACTCCCTTATAACTATGTATTCCGAAGAGTATATAGTTATAATATTAAAGTTTTTTTTTTCCCTCCACATCATCTGACAAGCTTCTAAAGAATGTCTGAAAAAAAAATTAATATTATTTCCTGGATGAATCGAAAAAAAAATCTTTATTGGTTCTACCTCCTCTTTTTTATGAAGAGAATGAATTTTTTTATCGAAGGATCATAAAAAAATGGGTCCGGACCTCTTGCCGTAATGATTTGGAAGATCCAAAGTCAAAAATAGTAGTCTTTTGCAACGTTATTCTTACATTTCCCTTAAACATATTCCTATTAAATGTTAGCTTCCTGCATGTGTATATTTTGGATTGCTAACGTGCATAACTAGTATTATTCTTCTACTTGAATTGTACGGATTTTATTTCTCTAATCAATAAAAAAATGTTAATGTTCGAGGCCCAGGTGGATCAATCTTTCTACCTTGCCTTGTTAAAAGTAACTAGAATTTTGTTTATATACGGCCAGGTCTTGCCAAAGTGATTGTTGAATATTAATTATGTTGCTGTCATCAAATTTTACGTAGCATGTATAAAACTCAATCAAATGACGGGGCAAAAATATTATTAAGGTAGAGAATCAAATATCAAATAAGAAAACTTAGGAGAGACCCTGAAACAGGTTCCAATCCTTATATATCTCTCTTTGTAAAAACAGCATAGTAAGAAGCATGTATGGTAAAATAAGAGTTCGCTTCCTTCTTGTTGAGACCATCAATAATAGCACGAGACCTGCTTTTGCAGCCTCATCTTGATACTTTTAATTATTAAACCTTGCTTTGCTTCACAATGTTCTGAGCCACAATGATAAGTTTAATTTAATAAAGGGTTAACACTCAACATAATACTTGATATCATGTAAGTTTATTGGGGTTCTGGGTAATCTTAGTTGGGTAGTCTTAGAGCACAAGTACTCGGGTCAAGGAAACTTGTCGGTGCTTCAACCACAAATTCCATGGATGATTTCTTTTTCCATAAATTTGGCTCCTTTTTTAGAACCAAAGTCAAAGTCGGTTAAATTTACCCATGATCGAATCTATTATCATTTTGTCATAAAAGTTTTCATCCTTTTTTGAAGATATTTTATTTCTTAAAAAATAAGTTGTTAATTAGATTTTTGTTGTTGAATACATTGAAAATCGAACACAACACCTACTACCCATTACTCATCCCCTCACCATTAGATTAGTTTTAGTGGCTGTTGTTAATTAGTTGAAAGTATATCAATACTTTTTTTTTAGTAAACTTGGGATGTTGAAAGATGAGACTAATTCCTTCGTGGTTTGGGATATAATAGTTTTTACCACTGATTCAAAGTGTTTCTAATCTAACCCATAATTTTATCAGCCATGGGTCCGACCTTTGAGCTATAGTCCCGCTACCAATTAAGCTACACCTCAAAAATACCCGATAGATGTATATCAACTAATCCACTTTTTTCGTAGGAACTTCGTAGTTATCTAGGATTAGTCCACTTATCTAGGGCTACTGACTTATCTAGTAACCCAATGGATGTACATAGCTCAATTAATAACATAGATTGACTAAATGGGAAAAAATTTGGGTTTGATTTTCACTAAATACAAAAATATATATTTAGGACGGGACAAAGAACTTTTTTTTTTTTTTTTGATAAATAGGGACAAAGAACTTTTACTGTGACTAAACCTCGATTCGAGATTAGTTCCATAGCCAACTCAATTAAAGAGGTGAAGCTTGTGAGGATACCCGATGACCGACTCACTTCAAAAAGGTAATTAAGGTCAATATACTAAGGGTTTTATAATTCTCATGTTGAAGGAGAATTGAAATCTCATGTTTTAGAGATAAAAAGCACGTGAGACCTATGTGTTAGAAAAAATTATATGTAGGACCCATGTCAGCACGGAAATCGAAGGGTGTGTAGGAAAATTGTAATTCTCATGTTAAATGAGAATTATAAAACTCATATACTAAAAAAAAACAAAAAATTTGTACATAATATTGTAAAGAACCGATTCATCAAAAAACTTAAAATTGTTAAGTGAATGTCATATTAATGATTGTATATTATATCCTCTAACAAGTCCTCTTCCATAAAAGTCCATTGGACTTGAAAAAATGAACAATGCACAAACTCTTTTTATCTATGCCAACAAATTCCACGAAAATAATTAATTCTTAATAAAATGAGGAGCAATGAAAATCAAATTTGCGACCATTTTAATCATAGAAACTTTAATATTATATAAAGAACCAATTTATCTAAAAATGTAAATTATTAAATAAATGTCACATTAATAATTTTATATTATATCCCTATAATAAATATTCTAGTCTATTCTAGCACGTCTACCAAATGTTACCTAAACAAAGAATATTGTAATAATGAAGTGGAGGGGATGGAACCTCCATCTATCTTGAACACCAAAGCCTCATAGCTTCATTACAAGGCTAATGGTTAATTAAGCACGTTCTAAATATGTAAATTGGGTCATTAATCAAATTTGAAAAGTAGGGAACTTTCAAGTGAAGTTCCACTCATGTATGGCCTTTTTGTCAAAGCAACTTTTGCAGTATCATTATTTATGTGATGATGGTCTAGTACCAACGGTGAAGAATAAATGAGCAGCTTTACTCTAACCCCACGCGATAATCTCTCTATACAAAAGTCAGTTTATTACACTTGCATTTTTTAATTGATTGCGCCGAAATTCCCTGCAACTCGAAGAAAATTTCACACTTTTCCTTCTTATGTGTTGCATTTCGCTATTGTACACATTAGATTCCACCATTCCCAATGCCTTGAGCGAACTTAACTTTATTTATTTCTATTATTTTATTCTTTAAGTAAATTAATTACATTAGAGACCTAAGAATTACAAAATGGAAAAGAAAGGAAAACAATTAAATCAAATTAAGTTTAAAAGCACTAAACACATTATCAGTCATTTAAAATGAGGCGATTTACATTATTACAATCTTCAAAAATGGTAAGGGAGATAATCACGATAGTTGACGTGCCTATATATATTATCTCATACAACACACAAAAAAGTGAATAGGACCCACTAAGAAGAG